CATAGCAAAGCTCTGCCCACTTTATCAGACATCTCACACCACAGTCTCCAGCCTCCTTCCTTTCCTTCCCAACACAGTGCTAACAACATGTGCCTTTAAAAGCTTAACCCCTTTACAGTCTGGAAAATGAGAACTACGCGCATAGCTCACAAGAAGTTGGAGAGTGTAAACAGAAAAACTACGGGGCAAACCCTACAAGGGCCTGAAATGCATGCAACCAAAAAGCTTCTGCAGGGCACTGCCCGGAGGCCTGATCTCCGAGAAGGGTCAGAGCTCACTGTGGGAACGATCACCCCAGCCCAAATCAGCGCTCCCATCAGAGCACACAACCAGGTTTTCTGCTCTGGGCTTCAAGGAGAGAGAGATTGTGGGCAGGGTCCCCGCCAGGAAATCTAGTGAAAGTGTTATTTGCAGATAGTATCACAGTGGTTAGTGTCAATTCAAATGACAGATAAGAAGAGGGGTGAGTTCACTGGAACAGTACACAGCCGTGGCTCAGTTGGGAAGTAGAGAATCTAGGAGGAGGGAGTGCGTGCACCGCAGAGACAAGAAGTCTCCATCAGTCCAAGGATAAGAACGTGAAATAGAAAAAAGGCCTGGGGAGTGTCACGTTGCCCCAGAGATTCACAGTGCCAGAGCGAGGGGAAAGACGTGAAAATGGCAGGCGGCTTCCTGGATCCACATCTCAGATTCCCACAGCCTGCATCCCTCTGCACCTCCCACCTCACAGATATCTAACAGCGTGTTACCCTTGTTTCCGAGTAAGGAGAATTCACAGTGTTCAGTAGTGATCAGGTACAAAAGCCGTTTAAGTCTACAGTCTCCTAAGTGCTGCTGCCTTTGACGTAGTGCCTACGCGGGGCTCAGTGTGAGCAGCTGGAGGAAGAGGGAGTTTAGAACAGCAGACAGATCAGATCGCAAAGGCACGGTTAGACTAGGTGGACACAGGGTTTTTTTTGCTTTAGAAGATAGTGGTCTCATACTTAGTGCTGAGGGTCCGCTTGGAGTCCTGTTTGGGGTCCACAACCCAGGAGACACTGGCATGAGACTGGGAGTCTTGGTCCACTTCAGAGGGCTCCAGCTAGAAAATAAAAAGAGAAAACGCATGTTAGATCATCTGCGCTTCCAAGAGTCCGAGGCAGGGACAGAACAAGCAGGTATTCAAAGCACTCAGCATGGTGCGTGGAGGGGCTGCTCGTCTGGCTAATGCCCATCCCCAAAAGACGCATGTTGGGGGCAAAGCAGCTGTCACTGGGGAAGCATTTGAGTCCTTCACAGCTCAAACATTTCTAGCTATGTAAGTCTCAACCCAGCACCCCGAGATGGCTTCCTCATCTAAGGCCTGTGAGTCCATATTACCACTAGCGACAGCTTCACTTCATTTCACAAACAAGCATGAAAAATTCAGGACTATAAAGATGACAATATGAAAAAAAAAAAAAAGGCAGACGGAGAAAGAGGGAGACAGCTCCTGGCAGGTGAGCTCCCACGTGATTTACACTCCTGACCAAGCAAGGCTCTTTCATCTTGTCCTCCTAAATCAGGATCCTACAGGATGGTTAACAATGCCAGAAAGAGCACCGCAGTTAGTTGAGAGCTGCCGCTCTGCATTAGTGGGGGCAGACATGAGACCGTGGGGTTCATCTGAGCCCTGGAACAAACGGGGAGGGAACACACAGCAGTGAGGCAGGACACGGGACCACAGCAGGAGACGTAGGGGGAGGGGGGAAGAAGAGGGCAAGTTGGCCCAGCCACAACTGAGGCAGCCCAGGTGGGTTCGCAAGGAAAGATGACAGGAAGAAGGGTAAAGACCTTAGCTCCTGGACTAACAGACTGCAGCGGCAGGTAGGAGGGGCGGTGTGTAGTACAGGTGTGACAGTAACAACAGCGAGTGTCGGGAGGGAGCGGCACCTGAGCGGGGGGAGCAAGCAGAACACAGACAAAAGGAGACATTAAAGGAAGGCAATGGCTCACACAGCAAACCCTATTCCTCAGCAGCTCCAGCCTGGGCTGCAGGGATAATCCCATGCTGCAAACTGCAAGTCGCCTACTGATCTTGCTGTGGCTCTGCAGAGTTTCGAGCATGGAAGCTGCGCTGGATCCAGCAGGGCACTTAACTCCCACGCCGTCGGGGCCATTGCCACCTCCGCTTACACAGATCCTACACGGATCCCTAACTCTGCAGCAGAGCTGCCAGCGGAGCCACAGATGCAGCAATATCAGCAGTGCCCAAAGCTACGGCCACTTTGTCTGCGCTTTGTCTGCATCCGGGCCGCCCCCACTGCAAAGGGGGAAGTTTAAGCATGTTGTGCCAGGGAAGTGGAGAGAAATCCCTGCCCAGACCATGCAGAACACACCCAGCAGCCTGCCGGCCCGCACATACGTACTGCAGATTTCCTCACGCCGGCTCGCGGCTTAGGCACCGGTTTGGAAGATTTTGTTTCGATCATTTCTCCTGCTGCAGCACCCAGAGGCTTCGCCCTCTGGGCTTGGAGGGCCAGCTGGTAGGCGACTTCAAACGCCTGCCCCAATGTGAGGATGATCTCATAGGTCAGGTTCTTCAGAGAGACCACAGAAAACACAAAGCCATTAGCTGCACATTAGCTCCCTCACCCAGCGCAGAGTTCGCAGAGTTCGCGCGCTTGGCAGCAGAGGGCTGGGCCTGCTTTGGAGCTGCAGGCCCTCAGCAGGGCCCATCGCCTTTCCCGTAGCAGGTCACATCCTGCTGTATCACTGGCAAAGCTGTCCTGTGCACGTGGGGCAGTGCTGAGCTCCAGCCTCATGGTAATGCCGGCACTGAGCCACCTCTCGCACATGTACAGCACCGGCTGGCAGGACCACCTGCGAGATCATTACATCCCCTTAAGCATTGCAGTTTAGCAGCGTTCTGCATTGTAAAGAGGAAAAGCCCAAACGTTTTACGCAGCCGTTTCTGCCCAAGAATAAAAGTGAGTTTTGCTTCCACGCAGTCGCTGAATTAAAAGGCTGTTAAATCAGTCTATTACATTGCACATAATTGAGAGTGTATTAGGGTTTTGTTCGCGGCATATTCCCCAAGAGGGAAAATCTCCTGCCCTGCTTTGTTCAGTACTGGAAACTGCAGTAACGAAGCCAGACAAATATTCTCTTTGTCGACAGAGCTGCAAAACGAAAAGCATTTTAAGCCAGGGCTTTGAGAGGAATATTTTAGGGTAGAAATAGATGAAAGAGCTCTAGGACAGACTATATATGTTTCATGACTCATCGCTAAAGCTGAGCGATAAAACGAGTGCACAGAGTTAACCCACCCGAACTGTGCCAAGATAATTTGGAGTTGCTAGCCATCACCAGTGTCTGATTGCACATACCAAATTCACACTTAAACAGGCATTTTTTAACTTGTGGGCTAGAGCTTCCACACTCATGCAGGGCTCTATGCAAAGCAAATTATACCACAGCAACTCATGCTGCAGCCACTCTTCTTGCAGCGCGCTGCAGGGATAGCCTGAAGTGAGATGCTCAAGCTACAAACCCTGGTGAACAGGTGGAAGTAGCCATCCTGCTAACATGCTCCTTGCTATGTACATACTTCTGGAAAACACCTCTGCAATTTGTAGGCCAAGCCAGACCAGAAAACTACCAGCACATGCTGAACCGAGCAGGACAGCCACCCTTGTACTCTATGTCCACGCATCCCTGTCCCCCAAGGGCTGCAGTGAGCTGGAAGCCGAGACGCTCTAACCCACTCACCACATCCACGGTGCTGAAGACGTGGCAGTAGTGGTGGCTGGTCTGCAGGTCCTTGGTGATGTAGGCGAACGTGCAGAGATCCTCGGGGTCCTGAGCAGCGCAGGAGATGTTCCGGATCTCATGCTCAGCAATGACATTCTGCCAGGATCAACCACAAGCACCCATCACCTTTCGTGGGATGCCAAACACACTCGACAAACAGGAGCTGCAGCAAGCGTGTATGGGTGGCAGGGAGGAAAACAGGTACTGCCAGGGAGGGGGTCACCCAGCCAGACCGGTCCCAGCCCTCTCCCATGGTAGGAATGAACAGCAACACAGCCCACACGGGGCCAGTTTGCCCAGCCTTCAGCATACTGGCAACCATCCCACCCTGGTGCTTTCCCATGGCCTTAGCAGCTCCTCAGGACCAGCTGTGGCTTCTGGAGCCACTAGATATGTCCTGCAGCTGTTTGGGCAGATGAGACTTCGGGCCGTGTCCCTCCAGAAACAAGCTTCAAGGCATTTTAAGCTCACCTTGTTAGAGGCATCAATGAACTTCACCCCCTTGTATGTGATGGACAGTATTATGGTTGGGATCTTCTTCATATGCTCTGTGGATTTCTTTGGAAACAAGAACATTCAAGTGAACAGCGTGAATACATGCTCCCTCCTTCACTGCAGGCCCTGCTTGGGGCCAGCAGGGACCCGAAGCCACTACCCTGCAAAGGAAGGCTTTTTGGCATCTTAAACCAGGAGGAAGAAAAGCTGCTCCTGGGGAAGCAGAGGAGAAGGGATGAGGATCTGAAGTGAACACAGCACCTTTTTCCTCAGTGGAAACGCCTGCCCTCCCACTGCAGTTAGGAGGGATCTTTAAACTACACGGAAAAGCGCTGGGGACGGGGCGGTTCACCAGCATTATCTGGCCTAGACCCACTGCTCTGCGCACATGGAGACTGCAGGGCTTGGGAAAGTACACCAAGATTCCCCCTCTACTTCATCCACTGAAAGCTGTGAGAAAATCCCGCTGTCCCCGTGGCCTCCATACCCTCATCTTGGCACAGGCATCCTGCGTAGACTCCGTCCCTCGGAGATCTTTGATCAACATGGAGCCCAGGTACTGTTTGGAAGAGGGGGAGATGTTAACACGCTTCCAGGCATCCTGAAGGCTTCAGGCAGGAAGTCTTTCCAAACCCAAAGCAACACAGAGAAGACAAAGTCAAGGTTGCTGCTACTCTGGCGCTGGGGGGAGTGGGGCACAGAACGCCCAGGACTCTTGTTCTTCCCCCTTCACCTCCAGCAGTGTTGACTGCAGTCCCCACCTTTCCACCCCAAATGGCCCTAGGGAGGAAAGTGGAGCCCCATGCCAGAGCCCGAACCTGGAGCGCTCCCTGGCCCCAGGAGGGTTTGGTTCAGGGGGATCCACGGCCGGGCGAGTGGCCAGCAGCCACGGCTGGAGAGGGGCAGCTTACGGAGGACTGGGGGGAAGAAGCACCACGCCTCCATGTGCGACAGCTCAACTCCAAAGGCTTCTCGCCCTCCCCACCCCTACAAGCCAAAAGGCACTTACATTGGCCTCGTACCCGCAGGACTCGAAGATTAGCTTCTCCGGCTGGTGCTGCCAGTTTTGGACTGGGGCATATGGGGCAGCCAGGCTGGGGGGGCGCAGGGTCAGCTTTGACTCACGGCGGTCCTCCTGGGAGGTTAGAAACACAGACGTGAAGCCGCAGCAGGTCCAGCCCAGGGTGAAACACGGAGCCCAGGAATGCTCTTTGGGTTGATGCAATTCATTTTCGCAATGGCCAAATCTCACAGGGGCTAAGAGGAGGCAGTACACCAAGGGTGAAGGTGCCAGTAGTCATGGAGATGTGAACGACTCATTTTCACCGATGCCTAAGTGAGCTGCTGGCTCTAATGTTCAAGCCAGTGACAGCATGGGGAACTGGGCCCAACCAGCCCCTCAGCCCCCCCCCCATCATCCAGACTCCTTGCTGCCTCCAGAGAAGGGGATCCTGCAGTGATCTGTGCAGAGGTGCCCACAGGACACATTTCAAGCATCCACTGACCTGAGCTTTGTAGCGCTCGGCTCTGGGATATGGAACAACATCAGTGCCACGGTCATGTTGCCTCTTCGAGGTGTCCCCGGAGGGCAACAGGAGATCAGCAGATCTGCCCGTGTAGGAGTCGTTCTGGCTCAGGGGGGAGGACGTCTGGGACATCAGATCCTGGCACTGAAACAGGCAGATACCAAGAACCGTCCAGTCAGCACGTGCCACGGCCCTGCCCGCTGCTTGCTCTCACCACACTCTTCCTCGTGCTGGCTGTGCCAGCCAAGAGCTGGATGCCCTTCTGGGTGACAACCGCTGCCCACCAGCTGCTTGTGCTGTGGAGCAGGAGCACAGGTGGGCACAGACAGCCGGCATGCTGGGCTTCAGTTGCTGATGCTTCCCTCGGGGTGTGCTGGTCCTGCCCCGGGAGAAGTGCTGCGGGCTTCAGGACTCAGCACTGACACAGTGCACAGCTCGCTAACTCGATGGCACGGGCTGGGCACATCCCACCACCACTGAGTTAATGCTCAAACAGCAGCTGCTGCCTGGCAGATGACCAGAGCACAAGGAAGAGGACAACCTGGCCCCAAGCTCAAACCCATGCCCGGGTGTCCAGTTGGGATCAAGGCAATCATTTCTCCCAAGGAGTATCAGGACCTGGGACCACCTGCTCCCCCTTACAGTGCCTACATGAAGGGCATAGGGTCAGCTCCCGCTCCAAAGGTGCCTGGAGTCACTTATTTCCCATGCAATGCCCCCATTTGCTGCAGGACTGTTTAAGGCAGGTATGCAGCCCTCTCTATCGCAGCAGTCGAGCACGCCTCCATCTCCTGCGAGCTTGTCCCAGGAGGGCAGGAGCGATGCTGAGCCGCGGGCAGGACACTCAGAGGAACAGGCTCTGCTAAAGCCCTAAGCGAGGCCCTCCAAGCTGCCCCCCTCCAGAGCTGACAATTAGCCACCCTGGGAGAGAGGCCCAGGAAGCATACTGAGGGATCAGCCCAGATGCCTGACAGCCTGGCTATTACTGCGGGAAAGATGCACCGCCAGTACGTGCCAAGCGGGCCAGCAGACAATGCAGGGAGCTCACAGCTGCAAGACGCATTAGTTCTATTCAACGGACTTGCTTAATTTGCCATTGACGTCCTTCCGCTCCCCACGCCAGAGCCAGGCACTGGAACGCGCCAGCTGTAGCACCAGGAAGTGCTGCAAATGGCCCATTCTCTTTTACAGCCTCCCTACCCAGCATATCAATCAGTTGATGCTGCACCAAAGGACTTCTCCCCTACCCCCAACCCCGCCTTTAGTCTCAGTCTCAAGAGGATGTTTTAGAGAAGCTCAGCTCATCGGCTGGCTGCTTCCCATCTGGGGTTTTGTTGCCCGAACAGGCAGCGGTGAAGTGAGGGAGAAGGTGCGGGGCTTGGACACAGCTCCTTCCTGGCTCCCAAGCCCATGCTCCGGGTACAGTGCCAGCACAAACCCTCTCGCTTTGCACCTGTGGGACCCTAGTTCCTAGAAAATTCAGTGTGCGCAAGCAGGGCATGGCAGCACCACCAGTTTCAGTTAAGACTGTTCTGTTTTAAAAGCCCTTGGGATCCAAAGCAAAAGGGAAGAGCTCGGCAGCAGAGCAAATACCAGATGTTTGGGACAGGGAAACGCCAATCACTCCCAATTCCTGCTCCAGGAAGCTGATCTGCAATCACCAAAGAGGAAGCAGCATGACATGTTGTCCCTCCATGGCATGCTGTTCTGTTATCAAGCTCACAGGTGAGCTGCAAACTCAACAAGTTTTGCTAAACTCAACTCTCAAATTTAGGTTTTCAGGAAGGATGGCAAATGTGGCAGCTCCCCTCCCAGCCAACCCTGATAACGAAGGGCCTGACCTCCAAAGGTTCTCACTCCTACAGTAAATATCAACATCCACAAATCACATCAAGTACACTTTGGCACAGAGAGCAACAGTTCTGGAAAACCCGAGACAGCCCAAGGAGCCAGATTGCAGACTCCCAAACAGCGCAATCAAGATATCAAGCCCCAGCTGCATCCGATCTCACCAGCTGAGCAATGTTACACTCCTGCTTGTGGGAAAATTGTGTTACATCTGGCCTGGAAATAAGGGGGAAGAGAATCAGCTCAGCATTTCCCTGCAGCGCAGGGTGGGAGTAGCATCCATTCAGTGCAGGAGCCTGACTTGCACAGAGGCACCTGATCTGAAGGAACTGTGTGCTGTTATCCCTAGTGTGAGCACACCAAATCTGGCCTGCAAGGACTGAACATCGTCTTCTCCTATTCCGTTTCAATAGCAGGATCACACCCATGCGCGCTATTTGCTGCTTAGGTCAGAGTCTGTAAAGAGGAAAAGCTGAACTAGATGCAATTAGCCATGTTAAGATTTCTCCCAGCGCACCCTGGATGTGTCCGTACACTTCAGCTTCCCATTCAGCATGGTGAAGGCAAAGATGGAATTTGTCCAACAAAGGAGAAGGTGAAAAACTAGCAAACTCATCCATCGCTTCAGCTAGAGCACGTCTGTCCGAACAAACAGCAACATTGGCAGTTGTGTGGCCTAGGCTGGAGTAGAATTTGTACATCATGATGTGAAACTTGTAATCTGTTCTTACTCTGTCCAAGTGCTCTGTTCAGATGCTGTTTTGAAATGAAAAGACTTTTCTCGTAACCATCAAGCTTCTCTGACGTGGGTGCTCATTTCAAAAACCCAACCAGAGACGAGGAGGAATCAGATGCAAGGTCAGCGCTCTGGCCAAGCCAGGGCTGGGCTGGCTCTTACATTTCCCGAGTTCTGCTCAGCCATGTTCAGAGTGGGAGCATTTGGCTTTGCATCATCCCCAGCAGCAGCCAAGGTGCATCCATGGGAACTGTTGAACGCAAGACGATTCCACCTCCACACAGCCAGATGTGCAATTGCCTCAACACTTCAAGAACTTTGTTCCCAAACCACCAAATATCTGAGAACCAGGAGTAACCTGAGCTTCCAGGTCAAATTGATTTGTTTTTATGAGAAACAAGCCATTTAGCTATTTTTCTAAAAAAGGCAATGCAATTTCCAAAGACTGCTCTCTCTACCTTTATTACTCTCAATACTTACCTTCAAAGGAGTTTTAACTTAAGTATTGACATTGTAGGGGTTTTTTTCCTTTCTTTATTGATTCTGCTAGGCAGAATTTCCTGTGCATGAAAGAAGCAGAGTAAGGCTGAACAGGCCTCCCCCTCTGAGCCTGGATACCCATCCAGGACCTGAGCTCTCGATAAACACGCTCTACAGTGTCTCTGAAACCCCCAGGGGTGCTATCTGCTAATCAGAAAGGAGACAATTATTCCTGACAGATCTGGGTTTAGTTTCTTGACAGAAAGGGAGAAAAGCGAAGGAGGGCCAGGGCAGAACAAAACATCCTGGCCACTGCTGAGCATGCTCCACACAGACATATCAATCAGGCAGCTCCCAGCCAGGACACACAAACAGTGACTCACTCTCAGCTGCGAGAACCGCGGCGGCTTGGCTGGTGGCTCCTCATACGGCCTGTCTGCCAGGGAAGCAATGATCCTCTTCCGA